CCGGTTCTAATAATAAATCAATATCATCCCAGGGGCCACTGAAAACATTCTCGCGGGCCGGCACTTTGACATATGTGACTTAAAGGGTGCTGCTGTAAATTGTGAGACGAATGTAAAGTCTTTGTTTTACGTTTGTTTTGACAGTGTCTGTAACTTTCAGCGAGCAAACTGTCACTTGTTGTAACGTGAGTTGAGTCAACTGCCACCATACAGCAATAGGATCTCTATTTATTTGAGCAAGTAAAAGCAAATAATTGAATTTAAAAAAATCTCAAGGCACCACAGTACTTACAAACATGCGAGGGAGGAGTGTACCAGTCCATACGTTTGTATGTCTTTCATATTGTTGTTGATTATTATTAGAAGTATTGTTAGTTTATTATGATGGACTATGAGGATCTCGTGAGGTTTTATTTACCGCAGTTTACCCACTCTGGTTGTTGTTGTGCTCCATAAAGTGCAAAGATATATAGCAGAGACAGCAGTTTCGATCTTTACAAATTTAATAGACGTAGACAGAAAACGAGTCAAGACTGAAGAAGTAAAAATGGAAAAAAGACAACAGCAAAGAGGGAAAGTTGTCCTGTTGTTTGTTGTTGCAGAATGGATGGCAGGTACATGATGTGAAGAGCTGAGGGGGGTAAAAAAAAAAAAAAAAAAGGAACGCAAAGACACTCGGGCATGTGCGTGTGGGGGCTCTAGGCCGGTCTGGGCCGGAGGGGGGTCTTCACAGACAGTTGGAAGGCATTAGGGTGTCAGACAGGGACTTGTCACATGCAGCTGTTGCTGCGGCTGATTGATTGACTTTGTATTGGGCCGCAATGGCAACGCCGGCCCACGAAGGATTCCAACAATAAAATCAACGGGTGAGGCAAAAATACTGACGTGAAACACATTGAGTGCGTTTTTCATTACATCCAGCCTGCACAATTATGATACAAGTAAGACAGGGACATTAAAAAGGAAAAAAAAGTAGTCATGAAGACTATAATAACAGATTAACGTCAGCTTTTTGGGAGGGGTAAAAGTTGCAATATTATGTGAAAAATCAGGAGCTCATCCTCATCATGACTTTATCCTTTATCCTAATATTTAAAATTTATGTTTGGAAAACTGCCATCCTAATGGTGACTTCATTCTCATAGTATTCCAAGGCTTCCCCTGTAATATTATAACATTCTTGACAAAATAAGGACACTTTCCTCGTAAAATGTATTTGATTTTTACTGAGGTGGCGCGATAGTGTCTGGTGTTCAGTCCTGTTAATTCGGACTTTTTCAGTCATATGACTTTCTTCTCATAATATTACAACATAAGACTCAGAAATGGATGACTTTTTCAATAAATAACCTGATTATTTTTAATTACTAATCAGATTTTTCTCTTTATTCTGGTATTTTTTTGGGGGGGTCGCGGGGGGGCTATTTTTTCTTCTTTTGAGTGATCCCCTAATACTTGTATGGTCACTAGCTTGAGAGAAGAATTCCCAAATTCCTGTAAGTGGTGTGATGTGTATTAAAAAAAAACAAAATACAAAACTTATTCTGGACATTAAGCGCCATATTGCTGCACATGACTAAAAAGCAGTGAAGACGTAGGGCGCCATCGCCCAGTCAAGTGATTAGCGGCGCTACTGTGCACAGGGTGCCGATGGTGTGGTAAACTGTACAGCAGACTCCATGTGATAGCACTACGAGGCTCAGGTTAAGATATGGCGTCACACGTTGATATGGAACATGTGTACATGACACACTTGTCACATGTCAAGTGGAAACAACATCAATGGTTCCCACTCAGACATCCTGAAAAGTAATTAGTGGAAGAGTTAAAGTTATCTGACGGACAACCTGGGCGTCACTTGGCGTGCATGTGCGTGTGTGTGTGTGTGTGTGTCAGCAGGGGTGCAGCTAGAGATTACAAAGCCCACCTCAACACACGGTGCAGGAGGAGCATCATAACGAGGTTCTACATGGTTCTGAAGGCCCCTGGAAGGTAGTCCTGAAGGAGGGAGGGTGGGGGTGGGGGGGTGGCGTGGATTCGTCGGTGCGCACACATCGGCGAGACGTGTCGGCGTCGCCGTCCGGCGTTCATGTCTCTCGGCGTTAACTACCGACGTCATATCCTGGCGCCCTGCATGTCTTTGTCCTCCAGCAGACTAATGAACTGGGCGAAGCTTTCCTTCACGGCGTCCACGTGGTCCGTGCTGCTGCCCTCCAGGATCCAGCGCTTGCCCCGGGCCAGCGGCTCCAGTTCAAAGTACTTCTTGACCTGTACACACAAACAGACAAGCTCTTCAGAGGTCTCCATGTGTTGCTCCACCATTTGTGTGCAAATAACTGTTGCTTAACGGGTTCTAAAATGGCGATTATCATCCATCCATCCATTTTCTGTTCCGCTTTATCCTCACAAGGTTCGCGGGGGGTGCTAGAGCCTATCCCAGCCATCTTCGGGCAAGTAGGTGTGGGACACCCTGGACCGATTGCCAGCCAATCACAGGGCACACAGAGACGAACAACCATCCACGCTCACACTCAAACCCAGGGACAATTTCGAGTGTTCAATCAGCCCGCCATGCATGTTTTTGGGAATGTGGGAGGAAACCGGAGTACCCGGAGAAAAACCACGCAGGCCCGGGGAGAACATGCAAACTCCACACAGGAAGGCCGGAGCCCGGGATCGAACCCACGACCGCTGCACTGTGAGGTCGACGCGCTAACCACTGGACCACCGGGCCGCCAGGCGATTATCAATGCTAACTATTAGCATGGCAATGTTGTTTTAAGATAGCAGGCAGTGTTTCTTTGTCTTAAATGTACAATTTTCTTCGTTTTATGTTTGGTTTGACAGTAAATTTCAATTGGTAGTGACATTAAAGATCTTCAAGCATCTTTTCGGAAGAATTGTTCACATAATATGGGGGGGATCACATGTATGGGGGGGTCAATTCTGTTCTGGTCAGTTCAAGCAAGCAAACCCACTTATTTATACAGTAGGAGGTTAAAATGTCAATTCAAAACATTGCCTGTACATTAGTGAAGTTTCTTGAGATCACCACAGTTTGACCCCGCAACTGATTATTTCCAGTCGATCCCAAGGGACAATTGTTTTTGAAACAAATTGGAAGTTGTTCACAAGTCTGCACATGTTCCTGCGCAAGCAAGCCAAAGCGGGTGATCTGAGGACTTCAAAGATGAAAAAGGAAGCAATCAATGCAATTCTTTGGCTGAGGTCGGCTGGCAAGGAAGCCAATATGAAATGAGAAACATGATTATCATGAAATCGAGAAATTGATGATCGTGTTTTTGAAAGAATTAAAAAGAAAAAAGAAAGAAAAAGGAACAAGCAAACAGGTGCAGTTGACACATCATCAACCCTAATGAGCCGACAATAGTTTTATATCTTGGTTGGCTTGCCTGTCTTTTGTTTTTTTTTTTGTGTTTTTGTTTTTATGGCGCACAATCATTGATTCATCATTGATTATGTCTCACAAAGCAGCCATTGACTGAGACGAGATGCATATGTTCCAAGGTATCTTGGGAAAATATTTCCCGCAATTGACAAAGAATTCATTTATGGTTGTGGTTCTTTAAATTTTTCATGCAGGTAATTTCATCTTCCCACAAGACAAAATGATCCTCGGACGGAGGGGACAGTGAATCCCCCTGTACCCAAATGCCTTGAAGTGAAATTGTTTATTCTTGCAGTGTGTTGTGCTGTCAAACTGTGCCATGGTGTGTGGCATGCCCAGGATGAGGGAGATATGGGGAGGGGGCTGGGGGGGGGGACAATGGGGTCTTGTGCCTGCTCAAATGCAGCCGTCCATGCCAGCGAGTGGGAGAGCGAGCGCCGACTCTGCCCCCCTGAGTCGAGTCGCTGTCCGGGTGTAATGTGAGTTTAATGACAGATTAAGTCACCTCAGCCGCGTTTGGCTCAGGGGCCCCGGCTAGAAAGCCGAGCGGACCCAAACAGTGTTAACAAATCTGTCTGGGTAACATGAGCCGCCCCCCGGTCCAGGCAGTAGCCCGAGACCTAGACTGCATGCAGACGATGCGGCTGGCTGCCTGTCTGGCCGGCCGGACGGCCGACTTGCCTGGACCAAGGCCCTCTTCTGGAAGACTCTGGGCCCTGCATTGGCTCACACTCAAAAAGCCTGCAGTGTTGTGTGCGCGCGCGCAAGTGGAGACAAGATCAAGCCCCTCTCGCTCTTCTTCCACAATTCACAAAAGGGCAGTTGCCTTCTTTAACATTGGCACACAACATCCCTGAGCCACTACGCCAGCTGAATTATGTTCTTCCAATACAGTAAGAACATGAGACCAAAGATAACGCAGTAAAGGTCTTTTATATCTACTGTTCATATTATTTATTACCCTGCTCTATTAAAATCTTTGATGCTGCTTCCCTGGCAACTAACTCCTCAAGCACCATCTGTTCACCAAAGAATACACTCGGCGACAAATACAAGCACGATCATGATTTTTTTCGTTGTCTATCGCAAATATCTGTGTTCATAGCGATAATTTTGTGTTGTGTTTTCACACGGTGCTCGGGGTTGAACGATTAGTCGTTTTAAGACTTCGCATCTACACGTAAAGCTTTCGGAAATCAGTGCGTGGTGCAAAAAAATATTACCTATGACAATATCGTTTAATTGACTTCACATTTCATCACAATATTGTAGACTACAAAACATCTTTAGCCATTCCACGCCCATACTGTATTGTCATGCCCTTGCATATGGGAAAGGAAAGCCACAGTCACCGATGCGCTTTTCAGCTGCGTATTGAACGCAGTGAAACACAACCGCGGTCACAGCTTCCATTCAGACACTCGCGCAGACCTGTTGAAACATGTAAACAGGTCCCACCTTTTAAAGGCATATACTGTACATTTCTATTATTTTGTCTTCAAATAGGTTGACAATGTGTTTCAATTGCGTCAGTTGGCTAAAACTTTTTTAACGGTCTCTTTTTTTTTAAAAAAAGTCTCTTCATACGAAATGTTCAAGTTACGAAACACCTCAACAGGAAAATATTGCCTCTTGTTACAAAAGAAATTTCAAGATACAAAAGGTAAAAATTCAATATGGGCTGCTAGTCGCAGCTCCGAGTTTCCTGAACGCAACATAGTTATAGCTGCTCTGCCATTGGCTATCACCGAGCATCATCCTGGCATCCCATTGGCTAAGAGGGACTTCTACCGTGTGTGTCTAAGTGTAGTGTGTAGATAGATAGATATGTGTCTATGCAGCGTCCTCATCGTTAGCCTCTCGGGCCATGAGGTGTTCCAATAGTTTTACATAAATATGAATCACCCAAAAAAGTGTTCACCAGTCCGGCGATCGCTCACTATGCTGATGTTTACCTTGGACGTTTTCGAAGGATTGTCAAAAGCCGACAAAAGCAAACATCCTTGGATCGGTTTGTGACAAAAATGGCAGGCAAAAACCACTTCTGAGAGAGAACATGAACGAAAGAGGGCAAAAAAACGAAGACGCAGTTAAAAGTGAAATGACCATCATTTTTATTCTTTACTCTTTTCTTTGTTTTTTTAAATTATGCTCAACTCTCATTTATTGTGCAATAATCCAATTGTAACCATGTATTTGTTCATATTTTGATGCATTTTTATGCTTTAGGAAACATTTATGTCTGAATTTTGGGGGGCTTGGAGCGAATTAGGGCATTTACATGGGAAACTCGTCGACTTAGAAAATTTTCAAGTTAAGAAATTTCTTCCAGAACCAATCAATTTCGTAAGTAGAGAACCACTATATAGCGGGTAGGTCTGGAACATATCCTTTGCGATGAATCGGGGTTTCACTGTACATTTGAATTAGCCCATGAATTTTTCCTGAGTGTCCTTGGTGTTATAAAATTCCAAGTTATTGTGATTATGATCATCACTGTCAAGAGAGGCCTTTGTCCGAGACGGGTCTCGTAATCAGCGTACACTCAATCCAGAGGTTTTAGTCCCAGCAACAACAGGTGGAGCTTTGGCCTCCAAACCCGCTTTAGTGTGATGAGGCTGAAGGAACCCTGTGACCCGATGGCTGGGCGCATCCACGCCGGCTCTCCAACAGCGTGGCCCGAACGCATTTCTTGAAGATTAAGTCCTCCTAAGCGCACTTATGCTTGCTTAAGGAATTGCGTGAGGCAGCGGGAAGGGTAAGCCACAAGTACGCCGTTGCCAGATGGCTCTGAGAATGACCAGTGGGTCATCCAGTCTAGCGTCTTCTAGGTCATACGCAGCGACCTATACAGAGGAGAAAGCGGCTTATACGCGTTTGCAAGGAAGGGTGTAAAAAAATTAATAATAATAATAATAATTACCTGAATCAGTTGCATTCCTGGTGCTGAAATCCAGCCTGACCAAGAAGATCACACTGGCAGCAGAAAGTAAGCTTTGACATGTGTTCGATGCACACTGCTCTGACTGTAAACTTGCACAACTGATACACCGTCTTTGTCCCTCGATAAATATCGGCCAAAATTCCAGTGCTGTCATACTCGTAACCAACATTCGCAAAGATGAATCCAACACATGATATGTTTAACACACAGGTGTCAAACCCAAGGCCCGGGGGCCAGATCTGGCCCACCGCCTCATTTTATGTGGCCCGCGAAAGCAGCTCAAACATGTCAACTTCCATGATCCTTTCTAAAACGTCGACCACCGTTTTGACTTCTCATATGTAATGAATAAGAGATATATTGTAAGCCTTTTCTTGTTACCAAAGCCCTCATGATAGTAACTTAATAGTTGAATAAACCGTCAGAATGGCCCTCCAAGGGAACCGCTAACTAAAATGTGGCCCACGACAAAAATGAGTTTGACACCCCTGGTTTCACAAGTATAACAAGGGGCCGTATTTGGCAACAGCTACATCAGAGACATCGCGATCATAACTTCACTCTAAAAAGAGTGGGATGACATGAAATTGTTGAAAATGGTCAGAACTACTTATCAACAGTGCGAGAGTTGCAATGAGTTTTCAGTTTACAACAGTCTTGACCATATATTGTAGTTTCGGGTTTTGATGCATCAGGGCAAGTTTGCTGTGCTGACTGGCAACCTGTTGATTTCAGCAAAGAATCCGAAAACTTGATTGGCAAGGAATCATTTTCAAGCTATAATCGTCACTGCCGATTGCTAAGATGAAGCGTCAAACGACGGCGCGTTATAACTTGTGAGCAAATTGGAATTACCTTGCCGCCATAAGAACGTCATAAACTGAGGACGGATAATGTTTCTGATCAATTTAAATG